GTCTCCTGGTCTCTTTAAAGCAGGGCTGTCCAGTCCTTGTCCTGGAGGGGTCAGTGTGTCTGCAGTCTCTCCTGGTCTTTTTAAAGCAGGGCTGTCCAGTCCTGGTCCTGGAGGGGTCAGTGTGTCTGCAGTCTCTCCTGGTCTCTTTAAAGCAGGGCTGTCCAGTCCTGGTCCTGGAGGGGTCAGTGTGTCTGCAGTCTCTCCTGGTCTCTTTAAAGCAGGGCTGTCCAAGCCTGTATTTCTGAAGGTTTCCAGGTCAAGTCAGAACAGCTGTGAGAAGCTATTAAATTGCTGCCAATACGCTCATATTGTGCTGTTTGAGTTCATTAAGACTTGAAATCATGCAGACACACTGACCCCCCCCCAGGACCGGGACTGGACACCCCTGCTCTAAGTCAGTGGACAAATAAAACATTTTTGCGTTTGGTGCATCGTTAGTTTTAAGCCGTAATCATGGTGCATAAGAGGTAATTTTACCACTAGCGATGGAGACCCCCAATTGACCCTGCCCTGATCCGATTTCTGAACACAAGCCAAGAGAGTCTGGGCAGATACTCGGCGGTCTTAGGACCCAGAGGGGAGGCAGCCTCCTTTTGCAGAGCTCGGCTCGCTCGTCCAATGAAAAGCGCTCGCTGCACCCCGCGCGCCCGGTCGCAACCCCGAACCCCAAACCAGTAAAATCACCCCGACACGACCGCCACCACCCCCCGACACTCGCTCACACAGGCTCGCGACAGTGACACGGAGGAAAGGGCTCGAAACCCCCTCCTCCCACGCCGCGAGGCAGCAGTGCACAACCCACACTGTTTCTAAAAGACGAAACGTATAAACGAGTTTTTTAAATAAATTATAAGGCAAGACATATAGCATCCTCAAGTCTGCGAATTTAGAGTTAAAGCAATTTATGCACGTTTTTTTTTAATAAATACGTTTTGATTTATGTTTTAAAACGTTGGCCACGCGCTGCTTGACCTAGGAGCTCTGAGGCGTTCGCGTAGAGCGGGGGGCTTCTCTCCTGGAACAGTTTGTTCTCTTAAAGCCCGTCAGACGAGCCGTTTAAGCACCAAGTGCTGCACCCGAGGCCATGATCACTTGTGTTTAAACAGTATCTAGACAGAATTATCAGGGTGAATTTGCGATACGAAGAAAAGTCTGAAAGCAAGTTCCCAAACAACTTCTGAATCGATGTTTTTAAACGGTCAATACGCTAGACGGGTGATTTTAAACTCCTGCAAGTATTAGTTTCTGTGAGGGAAGAAGTAAAGGTTTATTCCACGCTGAAAGGAGAAGGAAAACAATGTTTCAGCAGAGGAGCCTTTTTCGGGTGATAGTGTGTGCGGGCGTTCGTGTTTAGATCGGCATGTTTTTAGTGCACCGGCTAATTTTACGAGTTAATGGATTTTTAACGCAAGCGAGAAGTGTTTTCCTAAAACTAAAAAAAAAACGTAGTTTAAAGGCTATGGTGAAACGCTCGTATATCGGAGAAGGGGAATGTGCTGAAAACTATTGAGTAACACGCGCGTGTGCTGCCACTCAGCAATTTTTTTTAAAAAAAAACAACATGTGTGTTTGGGAAGATAACAAAGAGCTGGAACTTTTTTTTCCCCGTGTGTGTCGTGTTGTGTAAACGAAAATATTATCACCCCAGATCTTTGAGGGTTTACAGTTTGCACAACAAGCTTGCAAATACACGTGTCAGCATCGCCCCCCCCCTCCTCCTCTCTCCTCCCCGCCTCTCCTCTCCACCCTCTCCGTGTGTTTTCAGTAGGTGGACCTATTAACTTCTGGGCTCGCTGGACTGGACTGAACGGCACGGCGCGCTACCAACGCGGTGCCTATGCGGGCTGTCTCTCTTCGACACAGCGACATGTCTGGAGCACAACTTCACAACAGCACGGGAGGGAGGGACCGGCGGGCTCGGAGCGGCTGAAGTAGCAGAGTAAGACTTTACAGCACAGCGAGCGCTCCTGCCTAGCATGTGGGTGAACGCGCGCCCGTGTGGATGGTCCGGAGCGGCCTTTTAAAAAATTAAAAGGCGAACAATCTCTGCCTTAAAAAAAAAAGGCAAGAAAACAAGCAGATCGCAGCTGGAGGCAGAAAGAGAGAGAGAGTGTGTGTAGCAGCCTCTTCAACGGGATTGACTGCAAACACGGGGCGAGGAGAAGAAGAGAAAAAACAGGACAAGAAGGGAAACGCCGATGGAGAACCAATCTCCCGAACCGTATTACGAGGACGTGAGAAAATGCGGCTATCTCCGGAAACAGAAATCCATGCACAAGCGCTACTTCGTGCTCCGAGCGGCCTCGGAGCGCGGTCCGGCCCGCTTGGAGTACTACGAGAACGAGAAGAAATTCCGGGGCAAGACCGCCAACCCCAAAAAAGTCTTGAACCTGGAGACGTGCTTCAATATCAACAAGAGAGCCGACGCCAAGAACAAGCACTTGATCGTGGTGTACACGCGGGAGGAGAGTTTCTCCATAGCGGCGGAGAGCGAGGCGGACCAGGGCGACTGGTACCAGGCCATGGTCGAGCTGCAGTGCAAGAGTAAGCGAGCCGCTGGTCGGCGTGTCTTTGGCGGCGACAGTTCTGCGGCGCGCCGCAGTGAAACGCGAGACGAGCTCCCTTGCATGTGTTAACGCGTGCGACGCCGGTAGCCGAAGCGCCGGTCGTGCAGAGTTGTGCAGAGGGGCGATTCTGAAAGGATTTGCTCGAAGATCCCGCACACGCCTGCAGGAGTTACAAGGATTCTGTATTTTTAGCTGCCCACAACGTAGACGCGCGTGTGTGTGTTATTTTGTCGCGACAGAACGCATGCATATGCTGTCAGGATGGGACCTCCTGTGTATTACATAACAAGGGCAAAAACACCACCCCCACCCCGGAGAGTGGGGAGAGTGTTGGGCTATGTGCGTTGCCCGGGTCGTGTGGGAATGGGGAGGGGGATGACAAAACCGCACAGTTGTAGTTGACGCGGTGTCCACTGCAGTCTGGGAGAGTCGGTGCATGTTGTGCATATTGAAGCGTGTGCAGTGTGTGCAAGCGAGCCTACGGCGTGTGCATTGTAACCTTAAGTAGGGGCACTCGGTCTGGGAGCGACCGGCTCTGCTGCCGGTGCCTTTGCGTGCTTCTGACGGGAAAACACCCTCGGCCCCGCGTGAGGACGTGCGGTCGGGGGCTGTACGGGTCTCACTAAGCCGGCGGGGGCTAGCAGGAGCTGGCTTGTACACCTCACATGCTGACGGGCCGTTTTGGTGTTCAGGGTGCAGACCCAGTGCGAACGCTGTCTGATCTGCGGTCTCGTTTTCACTCCCGTGTTCAGCTCTGTGCGCGGCCGTGCATGGGCGACACAGCCGCGGGCGGTGCAGCGAAGCAGTAACGGGGCCAGCCCGGACGAAAAGGCGCAGTTTTTTCGGGGGCAGAGCGTGCCCGGTCTCGGTCGGTCGCCGGAGGCCTCAGGGCGAGAAAGCCGGAGCGCAGAAGCTGCGCAAGCTCCCGGAGATCGTGATGAAAAGAAAACAGCCGCCTTTATCAAAGCGTCTCCCCTCTCCTCACCTCGCCCAGTACCCAGAACATTTCAACAACAACAACAACAACGACGACTTCCACACCTCCGAGCCGGGAGCGGGGGGGGCAAATCGTGGAAGTGTTGAGGGGACCCAAGCAGAGCGAGGGGGGGAGCGGCACGCAAAAAATACCCGAAACACGGAGCCCCCACGTATATAACACGCAAAGCGTTCGTGGGAAGCCAATTCGGAAAAGAGTGTTTATTTTAAAGACCTGGGGGGTCCCCAAATTCGATTGGCATGCGTGACATCTGGATAGCACCCTCAGTCTCTTTGCATCGGAGGGGGGGTGGCAGGAGGGAGTGAATGAGGGGGCATTTGGAGACGCTCACAGTACTCTGGTGTCCCAGAGGTCTCACAGCTGTGAGCAGTGAGACATGTGAGCAGAACAGTGTTCTTGGGGGAGTCCTGTTTTGACTGTGTGTGTGTGTGAGGGACTGTTCACAGAGTGGCCCTGCAGCGGTCGGGGAGAACAGCTGAAGAGGCAGCTGTTGGGGGTGTTGGCGAGCCTGCTGCTGGCACCCCACTGTCTCCTGGGAGGTGATAAGTCAGACTGACCGTTGAGTAGCACCGTATCTCATCACGCTTGGTTCAGGGGCTTCTGGGAAGCTTGGCCCCGGTGTGCGTGTGTGTGCCCTGTGACGGACTGGCGTCCTGTCCAGGGTGTACCCCGCCCTGCGCTCGTTGCTTTCCGGGATAGACTCCGCACTCCTGTACTGGATCAAGGGGTTAGGAACGGGGATGAATATCGGCAGGTACCAGGGTGGCTGGAGCTGTGGTGCTCCCAGGACAGACTGAGCCTCTAGTTCAGCACATGTCTCTGCTGTTTGAGGACGATGGGTTAATGGAAGGAGGGTCCCACCACTGGGGTGACCACATTTCCCCAGGATGAAAACCGAACAAGGGATAAGGGTTAGAGATCTTGGTGGATGGTTGATCAGTGACTGAAGCTGTGTGTCTATAAAGCTGATTAATCCTCAGAAACGGGAGCCGCCGCCTTTGTTTTCTCATCCATATGGATCTTTGTGGTTTGCTGCTTTCTTCCTGGCAGACAGAACCCCCCCCCCCCCAAAAAAAAACCTCAGACACCCCAGCACAGCCATCCTTTTGGTTTAGTGGAAAAAAAGTAGAGGGACTTGCGGTATCGGCTCAGTTCTGCAAACAGAAACTCCGATGCCCTTCGAAATACAACAGCGCTGGAGAACCTGAGGTTGTGACAGACACGGCACGGAAACCAGCACACAAACCTCTATTCACCATGACTTTCCCATGCTTAAGAAAGCCGGACGTCATCAATCGTAGTAGTCAGCAGATGGCTGTAAAGATATTAAATAGGCCACATTTTCCCCTTGAACAAGACGTTGACTCCGGTATTAGCTGTGGACTCTGTCTCCTTCACCAGGCAGCTGACTTCAGTATTAAACTCGGGTTCTGTCCCCGTAACTATAGTGACCTTAACCCGGCTGCGGACTCTGGATCTTTCCTCTCGGGGGGTTGTCCGGCCGCGCTGTGCAAACCCCCTTGTGCTGCAGAAGCACTCCTGGGGAAGAGGCGCCCGGGGTGTGTGTGTGTGTTGTGTGTTGTGTGTTGTGTGTTGTGTGTTGTGTGAGGGGGCCGGAGCAGACCGGAGGGGTTGACTGCAGAGGTGCTCGTTCTTCTGACCCGGTCAGGGCGTGGAAGCGAATGATTCCGCTGGGGTGGGGGGGGTCCGATGTGTTTGGTCTGATCTGGTTCGCTGGATCTTGGGTCCCCCCCCCCACCACTCTTGTTGTACTGCTTATCCAGAGTCCCCGAATCTGTCTGCAGAAGTGGAAGGTGCTGGATTTCACAGCCCTTTCTGCAGTGGGAGCAGGGGGGAGGGGGAGGGGTCAACGTGAGTTAAGCTCCAGGTCCGCGGGCGACGCCTGCCTCCGGGACGGCCCGAAGCTGCCCACCTGTCTCTTATCGCGGGGGGCCCGATAAGATCTCCCAGGCGCAGCAGTCCGAGCCGCCTCAGGTTTGGCGCGAGTGGCAGAACCAGCTTGGCGAGAGATTTTGCGCTGAAGGGAGTAGAACAGGTTTCGCCTTTTAGAGGGTTATAAAAAAAAAAACAGCCAGTTGACATCCCTGAATTTTCCCCCAAAAGGCAGTGTTATGTGCGGTGAGACACTCCTGGAGGAGAGTGACCGCTCTGAAAGTGTTTTATAGTATTATTTATTTCTGATCCAGAGTTTATACTGCAGCGCTGTATCCGTATTGCAGCCTTTGACTGAAATCCTCAAGCTTGCTGTCTTGGAAGTACTTCTTTAGTTTTAGTATTAAGGGCTTTAGGTTTTTCCATGTTGCTTAATGCATTATGGCTGGAGGCCTTGGAACAGGTCAGAATAACCTGAGGAAGGTTACAAACGAGAAGTAACAACAGCATTGCAGGGCGGCTTGTTCCAGACCCCCACCCCTCTTGCAGTAAAGAAATTAAGTGCCACCTTTTCTTAGTTCATCTCCTGTTGTTTTGTTGCGTTTGTCCCCTTTCTGCCTCTTCTTTTTCCGTCAGGAGCGTATCTAGGGAATGGCTCTTCCCAGTTCTGTGCTGTACAGGTGGAGCACGAAAAGGAGACGGAGTCTGTTGTGTAAACCCTTGAATGTTGTTTGTGTGCGGCTTTCATTTCTCCTCAATCTCAAATTAAGACACCTTCTGCATGTTGAGTTTAGTAAAAGCACAGTTTCTCCTTTTTTGCTGGATCTTTCGGGATCAGAAGCAAAGCTCAATGCCCCGATCACAGGATGTGGAAGAGGTCTGTCTCGGTGGGGTGGAGAACTCGGGAGAGGAACGGTTGTGGCTGCAGCGATTTCCACCAAAAATCAGAAAATCAAATCTGCCTCTTGTTCCCCCTTCCTTCTTTCCCTGCAGAATGTCTTTTTGCCTTTGTCTGTGGTGTGAGGTTGTCAGCCATGGCAGTGTGAACAGGGGGATTCCACTCCACAGGTTCTGGGATTATTCCGAGTCCTTCTGTGCCGGTTGTGCTGATAGTTCTGGGTGTGCCAGGCATGCTAGGGGTGTCGGGTGTGGTGGGTGGGTGTGCCAGGTGTACCGGGCTTGTTGGTTGTGCCAGGTGTACTGGGTGTGCTGGGCACGCCAGCGGCAGGCATGTCTAGCCGAGTGCTGCACTGCGGAAGGGAGGAGTTGCGGTTGATTAATTGCTCAAGACTCTTTCCTGCAACTTCCGGGACGCCTGTGACATCAATGAGAGACGTTCTAGAGGAGCTGTAACGCTCCTGTCTGGTGCTGAGGAGCTTCCCTCTTCTTTACACAAAGGGTTGCGGGAGTCTGGAGCAAGCTGCCCAGCTGTGTTGTTGGAGCCGATATCCTGGTTTCTTTCAAGAAACAACTGGATGAGCTCCTAAGATCAGTTATCCAGCATTTGTGACCTTTTTTATGATGCAGGAGGGTGTCACACTCAGTCAGGAAAGAAAGGTACAGCCAGTGACTGCAAACGGGATGACAGAAAATGAAAAAATGCAATCAAAGGAGTGTCTCGGTTTGTGCCTAATAAATAGTTTGTCCTGCAGGGTAGCAGAGAAGGTGGAAGGTGGTATGACAATCACAGACTTTTTAACAAGCCTGTTGCTTCTCTGATTCAGAAAAATGCATGTTCTCAATAAGGTGATTTTCCTTAGTGTGTGTTTGTGGGTGTGACATTGTAAGGGGTGTCTTTTAAGGACCTCTTTATTAAAACCTCATGAGAGCCTGTCCTGTTGAGCTTTTAGGCCTGATTGAAGGGAGACTTTGATCAACATGTATTTTCCAGATAGGACAGTGCCCTATACAGTAATAAGGGGCTGTGCTTCTGGGGGTTTGATCATTCATGAAAGATCAGATTTAGGTTTTAATAGATCTAAAATGCCCACTTTATCCCCCTTGGGTTGTTCTTTTGGTTTTTGCACAACTGTCTCCTGCGTCAGCTCCAGCCCTTCAGCTCGTGTGCAGAAGGCTCCGGGACGCCC